CCCCCCCCCAGGAAAGTGGTGAGGCGGGTCAGCGTGACCCAGCGCACCAACCTCTACCGCAAGGAGCACGCCAAGGAGGCCATCGTCTGGCAACGGCGGCAGAGCGAGGGAGAACTGGAGGACGAGGACGGACCGGCCGACGGGCAGCTCCGAGTCCAGGTGGGAGCCAGAGATGGAGGGGGGGCGGCCCTTCCCCGGTCATCATCCCGCTCCCCCTTTCCCCACCCAAGACTCAGGTGCTGGCATTTCAGGCGAGGGCATTCTGGGAGTTGAAGTCCACCAGTCTCAAAAGTCAGCGGTGAGACTCAGCCGGTTCACACCGGTTCAAGAGAGTCGGTTGTTAACTTTCTGAGCGGTTTGGTGAAGCGGTTCTTGAATGATTTGAACCCCGCCATTGCTTAAATTTGCAAAGTTTGTGGGACCTCTGGTCTATGGGGAAGAGGGGTGGGTGGGGGGGCTTCTGCTCAGCTCAGACCCTTCCTCTTTGCACCCCAGCAGGACCCGGGAGCGGAAGCCAGGGGCCCAGAGGAACCCAACGGCACCGTGCCCCCTCATCGCTTCTACCCCAAGCGGCCAGACCGCGCCTCTTCCTACCAGACGGCTGCCCAGGAGGAGCCGGCCTCCGGCCTCAGCAAGGAGAAGGCCCACCACACCTTAGCGGACCTCAAGCGCCAGCGGGCCGCGGCCAAGCTGCAGCGCGCCCCCACGGAAGACCTCCCGCCCGGCACCCGCCCGGCTCACCCAGCCCCCCAGGCGGAGCCCAACGCCGGCGGGTGCTTCCCAGCGGCCAGCGGGGACCCTCCCCTCCTCAAGTTGACCGCTCCAGCCGAAGAGAGGCCGGCCCAGAAGAGGCCATGCTGCCGGCTGATGTGAGCAGTCCGCTCCTCTTGGGCCGGTGGAGCGGGTGAACGTGGCGGCCTCGGCTCCTGGTGAACCGAAGGTCCTTGGCCTCCAACGGTGCCTGGCGTGGAGATCTCAGGGAGGGCGGAACGCCCCACTCAAGGGAGGAGCAGAGTTGGAAGGGGCCTCGGAGGTCATCTAGGCCAACCCCCTGCTCAAGGACTGCCGACAAACAGCTGGGGTGTGTGTGTGTGTGTGTGTGTGCAGCTTGGTCTGGCGTCTGGGCACTGAGGCCCAGCAGGGCAGGGATGCCCAGGTAGACATCGGCTGGGGGTGCCAGGCAGAGATACGGCAAGCCAGTTTGCCTGCCCCCCATCGCCCGTTCTCTCTCCCCGGCTCTCCTTTGTCTGCAGGAGGAGCTGAAAGGGGGGGGGGGTCCAGGTCTGCCCCGTGGCAGTGGAGGACGGTCCCAGCTGCAAAACCCCTGGGGATCATCGGATGGCGGCAGCGAGCCGGTTTGCTTCCGGTCTTTGGCACCCCTTGGTGACTGCCTTATCTTTGCAACCCGGTAGCCCCTAAGCCCGGCAACCTATGGCCCTGCCTGAGCACCTCCCGAGGCCTCTTCCGCGGCCGGCAAGGGCCAACTGGGAGGCCGTGCGGGAGGCCTTGGGCGACCGGAAGGGGTGGGGACTGGCAGGTCTTTGGGGCAACTTCCTCGGCCTCCCAGTGGAGGAGACGCTCGCCTCTTTCCCCTTGTACCCAAGGGCAGGTAGGGTTGTGTGTGTGTGTGTGTGTGTGTGTGAGAGAGAGAGAGAGAGAGAGAGAGAGAGAGAGAGAGAGAGAGAGGAA